TGGCGTCGAACTTGGCAAAATTTCTCGCTGGAACGTAATCGTCGAGAAATCTACGCGCGCGAGTTTTGTTTCCGCAATTCCTCGGGCGGAATCTTTTCTTTTCTTTTTTTTTTTTTTTTTAGCCAGACGAGTAATTCGCAGAATCATAGTAGAGACCATTTCTCATAAAAATTGCTTTTATTACGTCGCGTTACGAGATATAGTGTCTGCTCGCTGTAAATACAGTTTTACAAAATTCGCTCAAATCCGCCGCAACTGTATAATATTTTCCACCGCTTTTTGAAATATCAAGGTAATCAACGTTTCATTTTTTAATCATTGGGATTTTTTGTGCGAGACTTTAATAAATCCCATTATATGATTCCTATTACGAGACGCAGCGAATCGTGAAATATCCGCAATTTATTTAAGCAAGACCAGCAAACCCGCTTTCAATTCGCGCGCCGGTTATAACTCATTACGCGAACTCACCGTGAAACTATATTCCGTGCGTGCTGTTCTTATCGTATCGTGATATCGCTTGTAATATTTTGCTACGGTTTCAGCAGTGGAGGTAACTCCTCCCGAACGGAGCACGATTTCTCCGCCAGATCTCCGCGAATTCCAACCAACACAAATACACGGTACATCGAACGACCACGATTGCGTGTCTAACGAACGACTATCTTACCGTATTTTCTGCCAACTCTCTCTCTCTCTCTCTTTCTCTTTCTCTTTCTCTCACTTCTTCGTCCTTTTCCTCCTCTCTCGTATATACTCACTGTGTCTCTTCTGTTGCTCGATAATTAATGTTGCCACCTATCTCTTCTCGATGTATTTTCCGATCGACAGTGTAGCACAAATAGAGTGGAAAGAAGCTCCCTTTAAACATTCACTTGTGCACGAACCGCAAAACCACCACCCCAATTCCTCCTCCATTGGTTGTTGCATTGATGCTAGTTGGACGAACACACACGATAACTTTCTTTCTCTTTTATATACATATATATATGTATGTCGTTTTTTCTTAGGACACACACACACACACACACATATATATACGCATATATGTCGTTGTTTTTTTCGCTTGATTAGTCAAGCTCGATTGTGGATATCTAGGGAGATCTAGTTTCAGGCGATGCTTGATTTGTGGCCGGAAAAATTTTATTATTATTTTTGTTTGTAGAGATGTACTCTGTATAAAAATTTATATATTTTTTTTGCAAATCTCACACGTGAAGAAGTAGATAAAGATATTCAAATTGGAACAACCGCCGCCACAAACGGAGAGGGAAACTAATATTTAATTCGTAGGCATTGGTTTCCGATTAAAACGCGCGCGCGCGCGCGCGTTCGCGAAAAGTTCATTTATATGCAATAGCCGTGAGTGGAATTTGCAACGTGGAATTTTAACGGCGGAACTTTCGTTATCGCGAGGGAGTTATACCGGATGACGCGCGCGCGACGTGCGATTTCGAGTAAAGTGAGCGGGCAAAGGGATTAAAACCCGGAGACACAGTGTATTTAACGTTTTACTTGTGTTCGGGGGAGGGAGGAGGGATATGTAATTTCTCTTTGCTCTTTTGCGTGTTATCAGGCGCGTGCATTTTCCATAAATTTGAATTTTCTCCAAGCCGACGTGTCACGGGAGGCTTGCCACCGCCGCGTGCGCAGTCGATTAATTAATAGCCGTTAATTGGCGTGTCACGCGCACTCGTAAAATTCGACCGAAGACAGCGGTCATTCGGCACGACTGGTTTTTAAATTCGTATAACCGGTCGCGAATCGATGGTCACAGTCGTGCGTGACGCGTACGTCAAAGCGTCCGACAATTTCCGTCGGAAAATACAATTGTTCGGATTTGAAGCGAAAATGTAAATTTAAAAAGCAAATTGCGACGAATTTTTTTTTTTTTTTCCATTGTTAATTGACGACAACGATGTATTGACATTTTACAATCAGCACTATTATGACGTATTTAACAAAATAATGTGCGCGCTAGAAAAGAAAGTTAAATTCATATTTTAAAGAATTTAATAAATGTTTTGTAGGATCTGAAAAAAGTCGAGTAAAAAGTTTATGAGATTGTGGATATAAGTATTGATCTTTATACGTACGCAATAATTACATTTCCGTGCCACAGATCACGCAAGTCTGTATAGAAAAGCGGAGTTTACGATGTGGTTGTAACACATCAATTTCCCCTCTTCCCCCCCTTTACACACAAATTACCTCTCTTCTTTTTGGAATGTGCCTGCTATTTGTGCATCACGCTCTTATTCTTGACCCGCCTTTAGATAAGCGGCTATCAAGCCGATTAACCATTCCCGTCGTTGATCGTTAACTTTCGTTTTGATTTGCGCTAACATCACGCGCGTTACTTGCACAGTACAAGGTAGTTGTCTGTTGAGGATGCTGTTGATGTGCCGTTGCTCGTATATAATTAAACTCACTCATAGCCCTAACAACAGTGCATATATTTTGATTACATATCCTCGTGATGGTATAACTTTTGATGAGTTCAGCGCTTTGAAGAGATTAACTCACGCGAATAAGTTGGATAAAATGTTTGCAATAAAAAAAAAAGAATTTATGAATATATGTCCGTCTTTTTAACGTACATTTATTCTCTTCAAGGTGAATGTTGTATTCGAGAAACGAATTGTTTACGTTAAATGAGAAAGCACTTGTTGAATCGCTCTATCAGCAGCTGATCCGAACGAGATGACTTGGTTGCCGATAAAAAGGTAGGCACAATCGTCAACTTTTTATTTCTTCTTCTTGGACCCCATTCGGAGATTAAAAACAAAAAAAAAAAAGTTCCTTCCATCATAGAGTTTATTTTTTTCAATCTTTTTTTTTTTTCTTGTCGGATCTGTCGATAACTCAATGTCATTTGTCGTTTCCGTCAATACGACGACTGTTCATTAAAGTCAATATCCGTCCATCAATGTAAGGTCGCTTTTCCATCATCCATCAACGCACTGAAATATAAAAGTTAAGAAACATTTGGAAAAATAATCATACGACAGGTGATGGCGAGTTACAAATATTTTTCTCTCTCGAGAAATATGAAACATGAACATCGGTTGGTATTCTTATAATCTTGTCAAAATTCGCGGTGCAAAGCTCACGCGAATTCGAAATGCATCACCAGATAAGAAAACTCAGCATCACGTTGTGCATCGTCAGCTTCTGGAATCGGCGCATCGCGCGCAATCTTCCCTCTCGTCTTGCAAGCTGGCGTCGATCCTGCAATCGTGGCTGCTTGCAAAATACAATCGATATACATTCAAGAGAAAGCTGTTTAATTTTATAAAAATTAAATGTGTGTTCATTCGTTAAAATAATTTATTTTTCTCGGTATATAAATTTCTCGAAGGTTTGCAACCATCTCTTTCGTTTCGAGCAATTTCCGAGTACCAATTTGAAATGAAGCAGAAAAGGTGATTTTTCGGTTCTTTTCCAAAGTCTCTCTTTCGTCGCGTGTTTCTCGCGTATTTACTTCTGGAGCGCAATTTCTTAAAGTCAATCTTCGGAGCAGGAAGAACGAAATTTCCTGCTCGCGCTGTGTCGCGTCGAAGAGGGGTTGCTGCACACGCAGCGTCGCAGATCTGTCGTCGGTGAATCGTGCTCGTTTTCCGAGCATTCACACAATCAGAAATCTTTTACATGCTCCATCTATGATTACATATACGTATATATACGTATATCTCCTTTTCCTCTTCTGACTGTGCATCAATACAATTGAAACATTCAACTAGCTTTGACCCAGTTCTCAAATGTCAGTCTCAAGTGTATCGACGGATCGAATAAGAGCCGCGAACCTCGTCTCGCTGGCTGTCCAAGTGCGCCGCGGTTTCCCGAAGGCAGCCTGGTATCCTGCGGCAGTGCGATGTTCGATAGCCGACAATAAAGTGTTCAAGGTAGGCGACCTTGTGTAATTGGCATGTGCGCGCGTATTCGCGTGTGTTGTTACAGCCGCGGCACTTAGAGGAGTAGCGATACAACGTAGAGTTGGAGCGACTAGGGCAGCGGCGGCTGCTTTTCCAACCAGTGCGGCCGCACTAGCATTGGCCAGGACTCCAGGGCCACTCGCAGCGGCGGCTGCGGCCACGGCCCTCAACCCCTTTGCACCCACCGCGTAAGTATCGGTCCAGCCCGATATCCAGGTCGAGTTCAGGACCAGTGGAGATATTTCTATATGCATATTGAAGCAGTAATTTTTATTTTTTGTGTATTGCAAGTAATAAAACATCTACGATCGTCATCTTTTATTCAATGAAATCGATGAAAATATATATTTTTTGTAGAAATGTTTCCACGCGAGATCGAGGCTGGCCAAAATTTATTTATTATAATTTACACGAAATACTTTTTATATTTTTACACTATTTGTGTGTTTTATGTACCGCTTGTGTTGTTTTCGCGCCTTTTTGTTTTCTCCCTCGCTTGCAACGAGTAATCAAAAGCGCGCCTCCGAAAATCCTTTCCGCGTTACAAAACTTCAGCAAGAGTTCATCGAACGATGAAAGCGCGCTCGTGTGTAACAACGATAATTAATTTACGCAGTCGCGCAAAGTGTGTGTGCGTGCACGTCGTTCAAGTCTCGAAAGACTTTTCGCAAAAGCTTTTTTTCACCTTAATGATCAATATTTATACGTGGTTAGAGCGTGATTTATATGCCCGTGCTGTAGTTTTTTCATGCGATAAAATTTCGCTTAACGACCGCAAGCTGTGAATCTAAACGTTAAAACGTGTTCCGAGATTTTAATCACGTTATTTTCTTTCCGATATGTACGTCAACTTTCTTCTTGATCTTGAACCTTGCCCGATATAATTTTATTTTATGAATCTCTTTTATTTTAAGATACTTTTTACTTCAACTGCGTATTAAAAAATTGTCAACATTTGGTACTAAATTATCATTGACACAAATTATATACTCAGATGACTCGCAGCTGAATGAAAGTTATTGTAAAATTTGTATTCTGGATGAATGAGAGGATATCGTCAATGGAGCACACACTTCATCGAATGTCAGTTCATCGCGCGCGTCGAAGAACATCAAGTCGATATCGAAACCAATCGGGGATAACATCAAAATTACTCGCTGCAGCGAGTTGCACGCGTCGCTCGTTAAGGCTTTGTCTGTCAATCTCACTGTATCTGCACGACTTTCAGCTTCCCCTCCTACACCCACTCCCGTATAATTATCCTGATCACACCATTCGCGCACACATAACGCGAATCATAATTTGCGAGATTGCGAATTCGCGGCTCGTTCATTTTCCAGCGGAATGGAAACTCAAGAATGGAACGTCGAAGCGGAAAAAACAAGGGACACTCGGTTACTTCTTCGAGGAACAAAGAAAAATTCCAGGAGAATATTCCGGCTCGTAATTCTTCTGTTCTAATTGTATTTCGATTGATCAAAGATTAAAAAACGCGATTGTCGAATCAGCGCGGATTATCGGGTCGTGGTGATCGTGCCTGCGTTTTTTTTTTTCTTTCCGCGTTTTAGATTCAAAACTCGCTGTAGAGGAGATGTGATTTTTGTTTTTTGTTCTTTTAACTTTTTACCTTTCCGGATTTTTAAGAGCAAGTATTTGCGTCGAACCGTCAATCGTTCGTTCGTTCGTTCGTTCGTTCGTTCGCTCGCTCGTTCATTTTAACGTTTCGAAATTGGACGTGGCATCGGTGGGAATGAAAAATTTGAATACATAGACGAAAATCAATCCTTGAAGCCTGTTACGTCGCCTGTGCGCTCCGGACGCGAAATCGGATTTGTCAAATCCAATATATGCATACGTGTACATACGTTATGCATTTTAATTTTAAACATTCGTGTCCCTTCATTTGTAAATGCAAATTATTAACCTGAAACATATAGAAAGAGGAAGTTAGCATCACGTGTTTCATCTTTAATTCACAAAACACCGCGTTACGAGAGTACACACGTGAAACTTTTGTTTTTGTTTTCACAATCAATATAAAAATCGCATTTCGTGAAGCATGGGATTGCGCGTTCTTCGCGTGCTTTTATTTCTAGCAATGCGCAATTAAAATGGAACGCCTTCCACATAAAGTCTTTTTCTTCTCCCGGAAAATAGATTATTACTTAGCCAAGTTAAATAGAATTTTAACAACGATCTTTCTTCTCTTGACGAGAGGATTATAATGAGAGCGAGCAACTCATAAAACTAATTCTATTGTGTACACTCCCAAGCAGATGCAATATAAAGCAATCAACTTTTTCCTCCATGTACTTCATGAGGAAGGGGATCCTCGCGTATAAAACAAACTTTGTCGCAGAGAACAAAAGTTTATCGCCCCTATCGTTTCCGCGCCGTTATCCTACAGAGATTATCGTATTTCAGAAATGAATTTCCAATTTTATTCTCGATCGAACGCGCGCCGTGTGTTAATACGTCACGCCTGTTAAGCGCGCGCGAGCGGTATTGCGACGAAAAAAAAAAAAATAAAAAATAAAAGATTGAAAAATTGTCCTTTGAACGTCGAAATAAAAGCTTTTATAACCGAATGTCCCTAACCGCAGGAAACATTAAAATCTTTATTCAGTTTTTTTGCGCAGAAAATGATTGTTAAATTTACACAAAATTCATTTTTTTTTAAATTGATTACAAAAACTAAAAAAACTTGATGACAAATAAACAAAAACAATCGAATGTTCGCGATTGTAACTTTGATTATATTTTACAAAGAGAATAAAATTAAAATTTTTGACAATTTCACCACAGGCGTAATAAATGAATCACATTGTGTTTTCGCGTGTGTACTTATTGATGATTTTTATTTTTGCAGTGTTTATTACGACCCCTTCCTCGCAGCACACGCAGCGACTACGGATCCCAACTACAGGTTGCAGGTGAGACAATTCTCCGCTTTATTACGTCAGCGACGAATTATTCTCTGCTTCCGGTACACGCAAGTGCAGAGCTGCGGTTCCGACATAGAGAAAGAGAGAGAGAGAGAGAGAAGCGCGGATTCTCGAATGAGTTTTTAATTAAATAGAAGAACACGCGCGGCACAATAGAATCGGGATGCAATAATCAATCACGCAATCGCGTTGTCCGATAATCGCTTTTTAATCGGAAAACAAGTTCGCGTTGACGCGTTTTCATTATGTTGCACTACGCGGACGGAACATCGGGTAGACCTAATTAATCGGATAATCAACGGATTATCGCCGATGGAATTAATAATACGAGAGCGACGCGAGAGCGTGCAAAGAGGATATGATACTCCGTCGCAATCCAATAAAATTTCGCTCGAGAGAAAAGTATCTATGAATAATTGCGTTTCACGTACGATGTTTTTTTTTTTTTTTTTTTTTTCACGATGATATTTCACAAAAGTTCTTGACAACGTGTAATTTCTCGGATTTGTTTGGAAGCGCAAATGGAAAACTGTGTTTTTGCACGTGCACCGGAAGCGGAGCACGGTGTTGCAGTATTAATAAGACGAGACAAACGAGCGCAGAGAGATTTTGACTAAAGTGTGTTACCTCTTGGTGGACCCGTTTAGCTGGAATGGCCTCAAGCAACAGCTGACGTTAGTTGACACATTTTGCCAGGCTTGCACACATGAGAAAACGCCGAGAGAGAAACCGATAACAATTACCGCCATCTCTATCTCGCGCGCTCTACACATTGTTCCGACCGTTCGCCCATTCTCATTGTATCTCATTTTTTTGCCTTTCGCCCTCTCCCCCCCCCTGGATCTCTTCTTGTTTCTTTCTCTTCCTCTCTTCCGTTTTATTCGCGCAAAAATTTTCCCGATGCATCTCGGCGACGCGATTGATCGAAAAAAAAAAGCACGTGCTTTTGCGACACACCGCTAACCGTCGTCGGGATGATTATTTCTGTCCCGACGCGATACATCCCTCTGGCATCATTTGCGCGCGCGAGCGAGTTTTACATTCGCTCGTTTTGTTCGCGCTTCCTTTGAAACTAACTTTTTATTGAAAAGCAATTATCGAATCGCGACCATAACAATAATATTTTTTAATTTTGTTTTTAGTTTTCTTTAATTACGAATGTTGATGATTTATTTGCATCAATGAAATAAAAAAGAAATGATGTTAAAGAGAAAAAGAGAGAGAGAGAGAGAGAGAGAGAGAGAGAAAGAAATAAATTGAGAATATAAAAATAAGTTTAAAACTTTTTATAAACCACTGTTATCTCAAACGCGAGGCATCGTGTTGCATTTTGTTCCGTCATAAATGCATCATCATCTCCCATTTCACTCATTCTTGGTTTTTTTTTTTTTTTTTTTTTTTGCACTTTTTTTTATTGCTCCGCATTTCTCTCTCCCGTCGCCTTGAATGGCTATTTTAAAAGAGATGATCATTAATCGACAATACACAATCTCGAAGCAAACGGAATTATAAAGGGAAAAAGAGCGCCATCGGAAACTGGATAACACTAAATGCTCGCCGATCGTTTTCGAGTTTTCATTGGGAAACGGAGTACTAACTCGTTTAACGAGAACTTAAACCTCTCGCGTTAAAAAAAAAAAAAAAGAAAAAAAAGAAAGAAAAAAAGAAAACTCGTGCTCGAGTTTTTTGCCGTCCGGAATTCTTGCGGTATTTCTTTTCAGGTTTGCCGTTTGTGTTTCAGGCTAAAGCGCCCGCCCTGGAGGTAGGAATTAAGGGTCCGCCTGTTCTCTTCTCGTCTATGTTTTATCTGTATACATTCCCTTTTTTTCTTCCTCTGTTTTACTTAGTCTTGTTTCTGTTCTCTTCTCGTATTTTTGTTCGTATAGAATTGAAATGCTCACGATTGTCAGAGGCTATTTAGTTTAAATGTACTCGGCTCTTGGTTTAAAAACAAAACCTTTCATAAAATTTTCAGAAGCAAGATTGATTTGACGTAAGGAGTCGTAGAGAAGAGAGTTTTTTTTTAGCTAGCCGTGAAAACCCGTGTCGTACGTTTTTCTCCCGAGTTTTGTTTTCTTCTTTCGTTCTCGACTGGCATTAGCGTGAGACACAGCATGTAATGTGTCGTCTTTTTCAGTCAGTAGAGCATGCGTCGCACAGAGAAAAACCCCCACGTCTTAGTAGGAGAGACTCCTGTACATACGGAGACGGTTATTGTGATAAATGCACGCAATTTGAGAGTGCGAGAGTGTTTGAAATTTCTCAACTTTGGAAGAAGTGCGCTTTTGTATCAAGTAGGACAGGTTTCGTGTGATTAGAGAGCTGTGCAAAGTAGTATCGTAGCCGTGCGATGTACATTTCAAATTTGTATATAGCGTTTCGCTTAAATAAATTTTAAACCGTGTGGTGTCCGTGCGTGATAAAAATAATTCTCGACTTACGCCAAAAATACGTCAAAAATAAAATTCAAGACGATGCGATACATATTATCGTAAATACAACCTGTCGCGTATGACGTTTCGCGGTAATGAATCACCAAGCAGTGGCCATTTGTTGAACGCATTGCACGCATGTGAAATTACTTTACGAGACCGTCTCTGGCACAAGAAGAATCTCAAGAATTCCTCAACATTCGGTTATTATTATCTTGTCATAAACGCGGAGAAGCTTCACGACGATTAAATTGCTTCAAGAATTGCTACGATCTAACGTACGCGAGTTAAACAAATATATTGCAGAATATAAAGCAAATGTAAATAAATGAGAGTGTATCTAATCCTGATTAATTTACGAGGGAATTTTTAAATAAATACGGTGTGTGATATTCGCGTATTACTGTTTTTTTTTTTTTATTTTTTTTTTTATTGTTGCGTTTATGCAATTCTGTCATCGCGCGAGCTCGATGGCAAATAATCCAATATGTAAATAATAATAGTCGAGAACGATTCGAGTGTGAAGCTTATGAAACGAGAAAACGAGATGGAATCGCGTCGGATGGAATTCGTGATTAGAAAGCGTAAAGAGTGTCTTTAAACGAAGAGAACCGGGTCATAAATCGCGCGAACGCGCGTGCTGAGAATCGCGGAAAATTTTCGCTAATTTGGACGGGCTCAATTCGCGTATTCGGCCGCAAGGAAAAGCTTCACGACGAGCCTCGTTTCTACGAAAATTTACGAGCCGCTGTAGACGATCGAATTGCCAACCCACTTCAACTTTGTGAGAGACCGTAAATTAACGTCGTTGAGAAACGCTTGTCATTTACCGGATGACAGGTGGTTTATTCCGGATATTCGTGCCGAATTATACGTTCATGCGCGACAGTTAGATGTCATAATGTCACGATGAGAAAACAAAACACGCAGCAGAAATTTTCCGAATCTGCAATCAGATTTTCCGAATCTAAGATTTACTTCGATAGAAATCGCGGATCGAATTCTAATTCAATTCCAGACAAATTTCCGTGCGGGCTTTTCAACACCGAAGCGCTAAAAGTGCGCTTCCCCCGATAATCTCCGTCACTGTCGGTGCTAAGCGGCTAATCGTTAAGCGTTTTGTCTGAGCCACAGTGTAAACGGGGATTTTCGAGTTTGCGGTTTCGCGGCGCGCCGTTTAACAAGCCGGCTCGACCAAACAGAGAGACGAAAGTCCGAGAAGGTGCGAGAACGGAGAGAACACACGGTTAGGCGACGAGGAAAAAAGTACGTGTCTGACTTTAGCGTAAATGCTGAATCGGTCGTAACTGTGCGGGTTTCCGCAAATCTAGAGATAAAAAGCTAATCGCTAGCTATGTAGCGCGCGAGTCCCGTTTTTGCTGCGATCTCAACACTTCCGGATGGCCGGCCATGGAAATTGGATTCGCGAGCGATCGCGAGGAATTATTGTCTCTCGCCCTAAACGGGAGAGATCGAGACGTTGTTTTCGGTCACACTCCGCTAAACTGAAAGAATTACGTAATCTTCTTCGCTGCGACGGGGCGAAATTGTTGTGAGAGTCACGTCGGTTTCGGCAAAACTTTGGCGTGTTTTGAAAACTTCAACCAGGAGACGAAGCATGTAGCCGTTCAAGAAAATCTGCGGGGCAACCTGGCGCCCGGTCGCTTCGTTTGCAATACGTCGTCCTGTTTTCTTCCTGATGGCAAAACAGCGCGTACCGCGCGTCGCTCTCCACCTTACCGCGATCTTTTTTCGTGACAAAACGTCGAATAACAACCCCCCCGTTTCTGACCGCCGAAAGTTTCTGGCGCCGACTAAATCGTGTTTTCGTCGCGATACGTGAGCCGGCTAGCCAATTCACCGAGTTTCGCAAACCCATTATTCACCGGGACGTCAAAAATTATCAAATTTCTCGCGCGCGCGCTCTTCTCTAGAAAATTACGTTTTCTAAAGACCGGACAATCAGACAACGAAAAGCTGATCTCCGGTTAATCTCGAAACGTTGAATTTGTTGTCACGTCGTTTGAGCGCAAACACTGCATTTGGGATTTAAATAAACACGCGAATGGAAATGTTCGTCGTGGAAATCGCGCGAGCACACTAGTGGCGGCGCGCATATTATGCTCTCTCGCGAAATGGAACATACATATGCCGCCGCTGGTGTGTATCAGGTTGCACATCGTAGATGTGCACGCACGTAGATCTTCCGCGATCATAGCCGGATGCCAATAAGGGCCGCGCGCGTTCGAGAGAGTCCTAATATCCTAATCGGACATAAATCCTCCTTGTTTAGAGAGATATTCGATATACCGCGTAAAGACGAGCGTACCTCGCGGGTAAACACACACTTGCGAACTTCGAGGGAGGAGTGTTGAAACATCATGATTATACGTGAACTATATCGTAATTGCGTGAAGGGCACTTGTGACGAGACTCGCGAGAGAGTTTACTTATTGTAGGGCAGAGCGAAATAATTATATACACGGCACTACTTGCTCGACGCAATCAGTAATCACGTATGGTTGAAACATTTTTTTTACGTTTCTTGAGCGGCTTTTCTGTCTCTCGATAGAGTTCATCCAAAAATGTAGTTCTTTGACTTTGACCGCATTAATTTACTCCGTTTCCCAAATTTGTTTCACCCTTATCGTGGATTTTCGCAAATCTTTGGTATCGCATGTGACGTGTATGTACGTATTTTTCATTCTTCTTACATGCATCATTTCCGTAATTATTTAAATGTAGATAACATTTATAGCGGAAAGAATCTATTTTGAAAACAGGAAAGTAATTTGCGTGTTTTAATTAAATTCAGAGTTTTTTTTTTTATTTTTTTTTATTTTTATTTATTTACTTTTTCCGCCTCTTTCTGTCTCCGAACTTCATTTTCTGTAAATACGATATTTTTCCTCTCAAAGCTTTTACATAAAACTACTACAACTTTGAGTATTATAATTAGTCACATGTGTTCGAAATGTTTGAACAAATTCGCGTATTGACATTTTTAGAACAGTGAATGAAGTATGATTGATTCGCGCGCCGCTCATATTGACAATGTGTTTTTTACTGTGTTATTTAAATGCAAAGATATATCAATTTTTATCGCATCACGCGCTGTTCTGTCAATGTCACGTAACGCTGGTAACGTTTTCACATAGCAATTGCACATAGAAAACATTAGCAAAAATGAAAAAGTGTAGTGAATTCTCTAATTTTAATTGACGATGCAAAAACATAAATTTTCTTTCGTGCGTCTTTTTTCAACATAGTGCCTGAATTATCACACGTTATCTTTGGAGTTTTTTTTTTTTTTGTTTTTTTGTTTTTTTGTTTTCTGTGTGCAAAGAACACAACACGAGAGCCTCAAGGAACGACCTAGTCTCGTTTCTCGCTGAGATCATCATTTCCTCTGTCTGTCTTCGAGCTTGCTTGAGCCTTGCATGGCGGGTCATGGTTGTTGTTTCAGGCCGCGGCTGCAGCGGCTGCAGCTTCTCCGTTGTTGAAGACACCTCTGTCGACGGCACAGCAAGCTACGTACGCAGCTGCAGCGACATATACGGCGGTAGCTGCGCGCGCATACAACGCAGCTGCGGCTGCAGCACAGCCGGTCGCAGGATATGCCGCAGTCGCGGGGTAAGTGTTTTCCCCGAGAAACCACCGTGTGTGTATATCCAATCTCACCCCGAGTCCTCCTCGTCTCTCCCTTTGACTCGACGTACGGGATGTCCCAGATTCAGCCGCGTGCTACGGCTATTATTTTGACAAATCCGAAATCGATTCTTCCTTTCGATAATTCATGACTTTCTTGATATTGAATATAATTTATAATTAATTAATGTATAATGATTAATTTACAATTTATTATTAATTTAAAAATGCATATTTTTTTAATTAAAATACACCTGCCCGTTGTTTCAATCCAATAAAATGTAATCATTCTTCGAAAGAAGCTGTCAATTATCGCAGATTTTTTACATGAAGAGCCTATTCCTTCCAGTAAACCTCAACGTCGTGGACGAGCTCTTAGAAGTCGCAGATACGTTCCCGAAACACATGAAATCCAGTCCCGTCCTAATAGTTCTGACGAAAGTTCAGAAACATTTCCTGAAAAACCTTAAAGCACCCTCAGTACTTCACGCTGGTATTTTACAAATATATAAATAGTATTTGAATATAAAAATAATCATAAAATATATGAATATTAAACATTAATTTTATTCTTACATTTAATGCGAGACGCGTTAAGTATAAAAATTTATTTTTGTATTTAAAAAAAAAAAAAAAACACAAAGCTGACAAAATAAACTTACATCATGTCATCTGAACGTCCAACGAGTGTAGAAAAATGTAACGGAACTAACAAGGAATCGTCTTGATTTTAGTTACGGGCGTGAATACGCCGATCCTTACATCGGACATGGCATTGGACCTGTGGCGGGATACGGGGTGAGTGAGCTTCGATTACGAAGTGTACATTTACGATTTCATTTAACGGGAGTGCCGTTAAATCGCGCGCGTACATCTCTTCTCCGCATGTTCTACGGGAAAGAGAGAATAAAGAGCACTCCGTTATTACGCCATAAATAACGGACGTTGGAAAAGACCTTTCTTCCTCACTTACATATGAATTATTAATGCCCGGCATTTTCAACTTACGGAAAACTGTGTCGCGACAAAAGTTAATGGCTCGTGTACTCGCGCACATTTATCCCTGAATGATATCTGGATCTCTTGTTTAAGATAAAAACGCGAGTTTATTGTCTCGTTTATTCATTATACTCTAATTCTTCAAATCAACATTTCAAGTAGAGACACGCTTAAACGCGCTGAAAAAAAAAAACAAAAAAAAAAAGAGAATGTATTTTACGTAACTCGCGCTTATCTCGCGATTCGTGCAAACGGAATTGTATAATTGATGGATTTTCTTATTCTTTGCAGGCGACAGTGTACAGAAGTGGTTACAATAGGTTTACGCCGTACTAATGAATGAATCGCAAGCGGGGAACGCGAGAGCCTTCCAAGTTACACACCGTTATACTCAGCAAAACATGACCATGTAACACACAAGTCAAGACAATTCATCACCGTCATTTTGCCATTATCGAGATCGCTTACAATGTGCGATGTCTGGATTCTCTACGCACGACCGGTTTTACTTCCAGTTTTACTCCTACAGGAACGTTCTGAAGAAGTGAAGAAATAAAGCGGGAAGTTTTTGATAGTCTTGTCAACACACCGAAATCGTCCGATCGAAACTGAGACTGTTGTGTTAATAATGTAAAACACTATCTACGTTAAATCTTCAAGTTATATCTGACACAAGCAGCAGCTGAATAGGCAAGAAAAATAAATTCTGTAAACGCAGCGATAGAGCGGCGACCGGGGCGCATCAGACTGTTGACTCGTGCTTGACAGGAAATCGCCTTTCCAATTCAGCAGTTCTTTGTAATTGTGATTTTTTTTTTTTCAGTCTCGCAATCTAATCAATATCGATCTGAAAGTTGAAAAAAACTAAGGTTGAAAGTTTTAAATGTACTTGATTGTGACAGTAGACATCCGTCATTTTATCGATATTCTTGCTCTGCACAACAACAAACGCGCAAAACTACTTTTAAGATAAATATCACCAGCAGAGAGGCATAGATTTCAGTTGACACGAGCCGACACAACAAGATGATCCGCAAACTCTTTAGGTAGCTAGTTAAAAAAAAAAAAAAAAAAAAAAGAGAGAGAAAAAGAGGAAAACCGACTTAGAAAGAAAGAAACAAAGGCATCCATGTGACCGGTAGGGTTTCTATGCCAAATATATGTGTGTGTGCACGCTTATTGCGCGCGTGTGTATGTGTGGGTTTGCGAACCGAACTCTCGTTCGCGGTTAAACTAAAAGAGTAGCGGAACCGACGAAGGAAAACTAAGAGAAAGAACCGCTTAGACATTCTGAAATCACTCGGATTCTGATTGCACAGAATCTAGTCAAATCGGTTCCTTGCAATAAAGCGCATCTCCTCCGATTCTTATTTAGTTTCTACAATTTGATTAGCATCTCGTTTTTCACGCGCATGCTCCGACATGTCGAATCATCATCATAAAAAGTACTTCCGTACAAAAATTTGCTTTTAATCGATAAAACACACTTGTGAAATGTACACTCTCTTCTTTTGGTCCAACAACGAAATATCAGGCAAAATCGAGTAAAAGAAAAAGGAAAACATGACAGTTCTCTACGTTTTTGTGTATCAGAACGAGTAAGCAATGGAGCAGCGAGTGCATTTATCTCATCTCATTTTTTATTCAGTAGGAATCTGATTTTAACATCAGTTTATCGCGCCAAGTCGAAGCATGTACCACTTATTTATTCCTTAGTTAAGCAATTGAACGGACATGACAACTTTTTTTTTTTTTTTTATAATACGATAAACGTTAAGCCAGAGTTCACGTTACGTAAGCGCAGAATCTCAATGCCAGTGGATAAAAGCACATTTGCAAATATAGTCAAGAAAAATTGCGCTTCACGGCGTGAGCGATCTTATAGAGCCGCACGAGCTTTCTTCGCGATGCTACTAAGTCGGACTACCGCTATTGTAATCATTAACAAGCAATATTAAATACTCTTTAGCGTGACGTTGCATACCCTCAGCAGGTCGTTTCGGTTCCTCGATGTCTACGGATGCGCGCGTCCTTGTAAAACGGATTCGTCTTCTTGTGTACTGAAGGATATAAATTAGGTTCAGCTAAATACCGATCCAGTTGCAGCGAAATAAATTCAGTAGTTGAAAACGCCGGTATAAAATAGATATACTTCACGTTAAGTAGAAAAGAACGTTATTATAACAGCTGTTTCTTGCAAAATAAGATACGTCTCATTTACATATATACAATATATATATATATATATATATGTATAAAATACGTGACATATGCACATAAATACGACGATCTTAATTTTAAGATCGAAGTATGTAGAGCATGTAGCTGTCTCGATGGTTCTTTTTTTTATTTTTTTTTTTGTCTCAAATATGATATTAAATTTTGTATATGTTTATTTTTTTATACACATATATTAATTTGTACGTTATTTATAGAGCACTCTTTTTAATAGAGATTATATTTCTCAAAAAACGCACATAAAACATTTTTAACATCTGATGTCCTTGCCATTTATAAACTGGTCTCTAAGTATAACATTTAACAACATAAGTACGACTACTGCTAATTTTTGTACCGGCGTTTTGTTTTTGTTTTTGTTTGTTTGTTTTTTTTTTTTGTTTTTTTTATCATCAATTTTCTTTCTCATGAACGTAAATATCTGCTTCCTGACTGAGTAGATATATCGGTATTATGATATACAGAAAGTAACAGACACTCTATTTAAGAGTAATGCAAAAAAGAAAACAATGGTACGCACACGGAGAAGAATGAGTGATATCTCTGTTAAATTTAATAGTTAAGTGAAGATTTATCGTATATTATACGTAAGGATAAGTTACGATGTTGCGATACAAAAATGTGACTGAGACAAAGCAAAGAGTAAACAGGAAAAAGAGACGAAAGAGAGAACAAGGACATATGAAGCGAAATAGCCAAATATGACAAAAGTGTTTTAGAAAGTACGGCAGGTAGTTTGGCCGTCGTTGCGTTTTAATCTAATCTTCAGCTAGAAATAGGCTAATCTCTAGGATTCTCGAGGACGCTCGGGGCAGGACTTGCTTGTTTTTCTCTCGCGAGCGTCACAGTACATGTACATAGATCAACTAGATTTGTCGAGCACAAATATCGTGGAAGAGAGAGAGAGAGAGAGAGAGAGAGAGAGAGAGAGAGAGAGAGAGAGAAAGAGAAAGAGAGAGAGAGAGAGGGAGAGAAAGAGAGCGTGCCGAGAAACGCACTTTTTAGGAATTACGAAACAAGCAAACAAAAATCCAACAACACTCAGCATACTCATAATTCTTGTAAAATTAATTAAGTTAATAAATGTAGATTAATTAATTAATTACGCAGAAAATACGTAAGCCGGATTTAAGTCAAATAAGAACAAATCGCAAGGTTTATCTTGCATAAATGACACAGACTCGAGGGAAAAGTAATCTCATCCGTCGGGGATCTTATATGTTGAACGAATGTGTTTGCAACATTGGTTTCTCGTAGGCACACATCCTTTCGTGTAAAACGCAGCACAAGAAACTTGGACTTTATCGGAGAAAAATTGTTTGAAGAGACGGATATGGATGGGAAATTGTTTTTTTTCGCAGCTGTACTTTTCGCGGATGACAGCACATGTGGTACGAGAGATTCTGCGAAGTTTATCTCCTTGTATATTGTACACTGTAATTACAATTTATACTTACTCGTAATCGATTACCTTTATCGGTAGGTTTATTATTACTAGCGATTAGCGTACTAAGTCAAGCTCAAATTAGCGAGACGGGAGAGTCGCACGAGACACTTTTTGTGATTTCGTCGCGTCTTATCTTCGTCAGAAAGATGCACAACTTCCTTTCTTCGTTTTCTTTACGCGCGTTATTGTTATAACAGGCCTATCGTACAAGATGTTCATAGAATTTAGAGGCTAGACCGGCTCTTTTTCGCCTCGTCACTCCTCCTACCATCTTTTCTTATTCATCCGCTCATAGTTTTTTTCTTATTTCTCTGAACTATCGGAAATATATTGAACATCAATTGGATTTTCTTCAAAATAACAAGGTTTGTTTAATGCGCTCTATCAAAAAACAAAGAATTATCTAGATCTCTTTTCAATTGCTAAAAATACTATTGTCTACAAAAAAACGTGACATATCTAGATAATAATATAATTTGTAAAAAAAAAAAAAAAAAAAACATGCATTAGAGAGCTTCTGTGTGTATGTGTGCTACGTTTCTGCACGTTTGCATAATTTTGTATTTTGAAATTTTTTGTCGTCATTTTTGAATTCTAATCTTTGCTAAATGTACGTCATACATTCTTTTCTTCTGGGTTGAAAAATTCATATTTGAAACGTTCATATCCATATTTTACAAATCACTTTGAAATCATCTGTGTAACGTATTTTTAAATATGGATTAGAATGTAGTTTGCAGAGAGAAGTTCTTCAATCCCGGCGAAAATAAAACGTATAAAAACGCGAGGTCTCTCAAGCCTGAACATTCTTAACCACCGAACATTTGATTTATTTTTTGTCGATGAGATAAGACGCAGAACTAGTGGGATCGCGCAATGTAACATAACTCAAATTATACGCACTGTACGTTATATATATATACGTACAATTATTAATTAACAATAAATTTACTGTAAAAGGATTTTTAAATGAATTTAGATGAATACATAACTACGTAATGACACATCTTACAAGCAACATATCCTAGATATTTAAGCAGAGCGCTGCTCCGGTGTCGTTGTGCGATCATCCGGCACGAGAAAGACTATATAATCAATATATGATCTATGTCCCAAAGCAAATCTATCTCGAACCGGTCGGCACCATCGACACCATCGGCAGCGCCGTGCTGTTCTTTCGAATTATTGCAAGAAAAAAAAAAATAAATGAGGGATGTTCCATGACATTAGGGCGTTATTATTAATGATATTTCTAGCGACGCGCGCGTGTGTATGTGTGCGTGTGCGTGTGTATGCAAAGTTTAATGTATGTATGATATGCGATTATGTGCGTGCGTGTGTTGTACATGTGATGAATAAGCGAGAAACTCGTACCCTTCTTCACAGATTGGTGAAATCAGGAGCACGAATTAATTGTAAATCATTAATCATTGTAAGGTAGCACGAAAAACAAATGAGAAAGAATTGCTCAGTGGCGCTGAAAATCACTGAGAAAACTAAGACAGTTTAATTGCCGCCTGTTTTATTTTTTTTTTTTTTTTTTTTTTTTTTTTTTTT